GAGAGAATTTCTACGAGTATGATACCGGGTCCACGAAGACACCCGACGACGACAGAAGGGGCAGCACAGGTTGGCCTTCTCCACAGTGGATTGGAAGCATGCATTACAGAGCGTGTGGTTACAGGGCAGCGTGACCGGCTCCATGAAGATTTCCATGCAGATCCCGCACTGGCATTCCGACAAGGGAGGGATGGCATCTTTAGGTACAGCCATTTTAATATGCTAAAAAAGACATAGTCAACATCAACGCCCGAAAGACGAAGAATCGTATTTCCGGCCCAACCAAGGGGAAACCAAATGAACAGTTTCGTGTTTAAATATTATGCCCAGCAGCGTATCGGAACTCAGAGGTGGTTAGCATCAAACGACGAGAAGCACAAGGCGCTCAGCGGGCCAGGTAAACAAGACCACCCTGGAGGCTGTGTGTTCGTCCCTGTTTAGACAAACGTCCGGTAAGAAAATAAAGAGACGCTCCAGGGGCATTACTATAACCGCCTCCGCAGCGCAGCCGGCGGGCCCCGCACTCCGGCCTGGGGGCGGGCGTGGGGCAGGCTCCCCTCCTCCCTCTCACCGGGCGAGGATGCTCCCGCCGCCGCCACGGCAGCGGCCTCGGCGCCACCGTCCTGGAAAGGGCCCGGCTTCCGCGGGGGCTTCTGGCTCCGCTGGAGCAGGGCTTCCGCTTTACCATCGCAGTGGGGTCAGCGCACGAGCCCCCGCGCCCCAGCTTTCCAGCATCTGGAGCGCTCGGAGGCCGCCTCTCCCTTCTCCAGAGGCGGCCAAATTGCTACATCCCCACAGCGCTGCCGGCGCTAGTGACGTCACAACTGCCCGCCGAAAAGGGCCCCGCCCCCAGGAGACGCCCAATAGCAGAGGCCAGGAACGCTACGCAAGGCGGGACTTCCGGGGCTTGAGCGCGCCCATCTCGCTCCACAGGGGAGAGCGAGGAGGGGAGGGAAAAGTCCCTGCTCTTGGCCCCTCCTACTTCAGTTTGGGACTGAGAGCCCGAGTTTCCCCCACGTTTTTCAGCTCCCGGAGGCTGCGGAAACAGGGTGGGATTATCGTCTGTGTTCAGAAAAGGGGGACCTCCAAACAAATTTTAAAAATTCTTGCCAAAACCGGTTTGGTTCAGTGGTTAGAGCGTCGGTCTGTGCACTGAAAGGTCCCAGGTTCGATTCCGGTCAAGGGCTTGTACATTGGTTGCAGGCACTTCCCCGGTAGGGGGTGTGCAAGAGGCAACTGGTCATGTTTCTCTCATGGATGTTTCTAGCTCTGTATCCCTTTCCCTTTCTCTCTGTGGAAAATCGATAAAATATATTAAAAATAAAAATAAATAAAATTTCTGTACTCTTCAAACTACCTTTCTATTTCTATCAATTTAATAAGCCTCTTAGGTTGCTATCCAGAGTTTTTAGAAAAGCAGCTCTGAGGTTGATATCGGGGAAAGGCTGTGATCAGAGAATCTGCAAACTTGTATAATTTATGGAAGCATTTACTGTTCCCTCCGTAGCCCAGCCCTTTCTCAAATTTGCCTTTCATTTTAGGGTTGCCCGGCTCAAGGCTGCTTCTAACCTGAGGCTCGGCAGTCGTGTGCATTGTATATAATGTAGTATTTTATTATTAAATCATCTAGAACAATCAAAATTATTAGGGGGCCAAAGGCAAAATAGTTTAACATCTTGGCATTAAGTTCTTGTACTGACAACTGATCCTGTGGTAGGCAGTTAGACGAGAGCAGAGAAAGGAGGGCGGGGCAGGTACAGAAAGTCACACCAGAGTGGAAAGCCCTGTGTGCCCTGGAAGGGACAATTGTAGGGTGGGACCTCATTCCCTAGCATGCAGTGTAGACCTCCTTGACCTTTCATATTATTGGTCATTCAATTTAGGCCAATGGTTCTCAACCTTTCTAATGCTGCGACCCTTTAATACAGTTCCTCATGTTGTGGTGACCCCCAACCATAAAGTTATTTTTGTTGCTACTTCATAACTAATTTTGCTACTGTTAATCGTAATGTAAATATCTGTGTTTTCCGGTGGTCTTAGGCTCTACAGCAGCGCCTAAAATCTACAGTAGTGGTCGCAACCCACAGGTTGAGAACCGCTAGCAGGGTTGCCTAAGACCATCAGTTTGTATTAAAGGGTCACGGCATTAGAAAGGTTGAGAACCACGGGTAGACACTCTGACACTTCGTACCTAGAAATAACATTTAGGCCTTAGCTGGATTTTAGTTCCAGGACCAAGATAAGCAGCAAAACCAGGGAAGCAACACCATGGCTGGCCTTAGAACCAGCTGCATTGAATAATGACCCACTGTCCTGGTGCGGACCAATCAATCAGTGGAGACCTAGCCCCTGAAAGGACACACCTGCAAAGCTGATGAATATTCAATTGAAATCCTCCTCTGGAACCTCCCTAAGATAAAGCCCACAGAAGGAGGACCCAGGCAGCAATTCCTTCCTGGATCCAGCCGGCCCGTTTCCCTATCACCTCCCCGCCCCCTGCCCTCAGGCAAGTCACCTTTACCTTCCTCACTTCAAAGGCCCCTCCTTTGCTTCTATAATTGGTTCCTAAACCCATTTCTATGAATTACTTCTCCCTCCGGGATTTTCCAAGAAATGTTCTCTTAATGTTTGAGTCTTGGCTCTGAATTCTTTCCTAGCCAGAACTCAAGCACTGAGGTTGATGAAACCAGGTCTGGGCTAACACCTGGTGCCATTCCTGCTGCCACCAACAAGCCTAGTGAATTGATTGCTATAAATTAGGAGGTCATTGTTCAATATCCAGTTAGGTCAAGATATGCCCCAGTTTCTGGCTTAATCCTGAGAGGGGAGCATGGCAGCTGATCAATGATTCTCTCTCATTATTGATGTTTCTCTCCCTCTCCTTTCATCTCTGAAAAAAAGAAAAAAAGACAAAGGCCTTAGTTGGTTTGAGCATTGGCCTGAGGACTGAATGGTCCTGGATTCAATTCCACTTAAGGGCACATGCCTGGATTTCGGGCCCAATCCCCAGTAGGGGGTGTGCAGGAGGCAGCTGATAATGATTTTCTGTCATCATTGATGTTTCTCTCTCTCTCCATCTCCCTTCCTCTCTGAAGTAAATAAAAATACATCTTTAAAAAAAAGACAAAGGACCCAGAGCAGCCCCCATCATTCCATTTCCCATTTTCTTCCCTACTTTCCCCCCATAGGCATGCATCTCCTAAGCTCTAAGGAACTCCAGGAGACTTGCAACCTGAGGAGCAATGGGTAGCAACAGCTCATCCCAGGCTAATCCCCTGAACCTGTTCCCAAGGCCCCTTTTCTCTGACTTCCCAGAAAGCTAGTTGCTTCTTCTATACTAAGCCCTTTCTTGTCTTACTGTCTCCAGCTCTAATAAACATAGTCATCTGAACTTGTGTTGTAAAATTTTTCCTACATGAAGTCAAAAACCCACACACACTACCGGCCAGCCCCAGGCAGACCCGCTCAGGGCCAGGTTCCCTTTCCTGTAACCATATATCTCCTAGTTATAGTAGTTTTTATCATACTTTTATTTAATTCTTTCATTTTGAGCCCTGGCTGAGTAGCTCAGTTGGTTAGAACACTGACTTGATAGGCCAAGGTTATATGTTCAACCCTGTTCAGGCATAAACAAGAATCAACCAATGAATGCATAAATAAGTATAACAGATCAATGTTTTTCTTTTCCTTCCTATCTATAAAAATCAATACATTTTTAAATTACTGCATTTTGATTTCTATTTTTAGAAACCTTCTGTAATGGATACATTTTATATGCTTCTTCAGATTTTCTTGGCCTTGTCCTAGGTCTGCTTGAGGGACATTCTTGAAATCTCTTTCTTGTCCTGCCACTTGTGGACTCCTGTGAAACACTGAACTGAACAATGCAGGCTCTGACTTGCCTGTGGCTGCTGGGAGGGCTTAGATGATGCATCCTGGAAGTATGGGGTGTCACTCCCATGGAGCAAACTTTGGCTAATTGAAATCATAGAAATTTTCTTTTTTCCAAGGCATGGCTCCTTCAAATGGTGTGTCTGGAGAAGGACCAGACTGAGCAGATATATCTGCCAAGCAACCTGCTCTATCTCTTGTGGCTCATTTTCAAGGAGCCACAAGGTAACATATCACCTTGTATTTCTTCTTATCTTTCTCTACCTAGCATCCTTCCAGAGTGTCACTGTCCTGAATTTGTATCTCCCAAAAAAGCATCAGCATTTAACATTTACCTGGAGGACAGGACCCACATTTTTTGTTGTTGTTAATCCTCACCCAAGGATATTTTTCCACTGATTTTTATAGAGAATGGAAGAGAGAGGAAAAGACAGAAATATTGATATGTGAGAAACACATCAATAGGTTGCAAACCCTGACCAGGGCTCAGGCGGGGTAGGAGTTTGCAACCAAGGTATGTGCTCCGCAGGCAGACACTCTATCCACTGAGCAAACCAGCTAGAGCAGGACCCACATTTTTAAATGTTTTTGTTGTAGAACCTCACACATGGCATTTGGTGATCAATAAATATCATGGATATATGATCTATGTGTGTGAGTTCCCTTTCTGGTATAAATAACTGTGATACTGTACTAGAGAGAAAATGTACATCAACATATAATTTAAGTAAGGTATTTTTACTGTTTTGTCTTTTAATAGGTAATAAATTTACATGTTTCAAAATTCAAAATGTATATATGAATTAACAAGATTTCTTCCTATCTTTGATCCACTAGCTTCTTAGTTTCCTTCCTTAAGACAACCAATGTTCTCAGGATCTTGTATCTCTCCAGAAGAAGTTTATGGATTTATTAGCTTATGTATGTGCATATATGCATATGTGTTTGTCCCTTTTTCCATTTAAAATACATATTGGAAATAAATATTTTATTTTTATTTTTAAATATATTTTTATTAATTTCAGAGAGGAAGGTAGAGGGAAAGAGAGGGAGAAACATCAAGGATGAGAATCACTGATTGACTGTCTCCTACATGCTCCCTACTGGGGATTGAGCCTGCAACCTAGGCATGTGCACTTGGCTGGAATCGAACCTGGGACCCTTATGTCCACAGGCAGACACTCTATCTAAAACCAAAAGAGCTTCTTCATTCTTTCATATATAAATATCCATGATAAGTTAAAACCAAAGAGCTTCTTCATTCTTTTATATATAAATATCCATGATAGCAAATTATCATAATTTCTCTAATACTCTCCCAATTTTTGCTATAAAAATAAGTCCATAGCAAAATTGTATGTACATATATATTTTTTCCCATTTGCAAGATAAATTACTAGAAGTGGGATTGCTAGGTCATAAGATAACAGGTTAGTTTTTAACAATTGGCATCAACTCTTTTAGGGACGACTTTTGCTCTTCAGGGGCTGTCACTGCTTTCCCCTTCTCAATGAGCTGGACAGCCATCAGCAAGGCATGCTGCAGAGCCTGGTTCTTTACCATGTTGGTGATCATGAACGTGACGTCCCTGATGTACATCTGTCTCACTTTGGCACTGTAGTGTTCTGCCTTGTTACCATGGGCAATAAAGAAGGTACAAAGTGCTGTGGTATCGCCTTCTTGCAGCCCACACTCCTCCAGGACAGACTCCCATACGACTCCAATGCGCTTGTTCTTGACTTTTCTTCTAAGGACGGAGGCCAAGGTAGGAAGACCCCTCGCCAGGTCTGGCAGCTTCTCAAGCACACGCGTGTGCAAGCAGATGAGTACTTCCACGACATAGCTGTATATAATATTTAATTCCATTGAAGTGAACCTACAATAAAGGGAGAGCTTCTAAAGCAGTAGAATACTTTATCTTCAAATATAAATAAATTCTATTAGGTTAGCTCAAAGAAGTACAAATCCACTAGGAAAACCAGCTGTCGTGTTTTAGAAAATACTTTAGTAATAAGACCTATGCTAAACTGGATACCTGATTCTCTAGCCACCCATACTATAAGCTTCTCAATGGCAGAGGAGTTATATTATCCATCTCTGTGTTAATAAGATCTTGGCAAACAAGGAACTGTTGATGAGTACTGCAGTGCCTGGCATCTAAACAGGTACTCAAATTGATATTTTTGGAATAAATGAACCTAAGCATATGTGATTTCTTAACAATCCATTGCTGGAACCACATTAAGAAATTCAGTTTTAGAATGACCATGCCATTCTCACAATGCTACAAAATTCCACTGATTTCTCATTGGATACTCACTTGAGTGCCAGAACTGCTGTCCACAGCTCATCTTGGGCTGCCTGGCTGGCCAACATTTTGCTATGATGTTCAAATTTCTGTGTCAGATTATCCTTGGTGAAGTCCAGTTCTTTAAACTGTGCTTCTAAAGCTTGGAGTTTGTGGTCTATTCTATAAGATAAAAGAATCAAGGGTTGGTTTGTGGTGTACTCTATAAAATAAAAGAGTCAAGGGTTGGTTTAAGTCAGGGGACAAAATTAAATTGTTGCCTAAGATGAGAATGTATTATTTACAACCACAACCAAAGTTGGGTAGCTATTTGCCATTCTCTCTATCCATCATCTTAGTTCTTGCATTCCTTATATTGCCAAACTTTTGAATTGTCTACTTTAATTCATTTGTCATGTTTTATCTTTTTATTGTACTTTATACTTTAAAAAGTATTTTATACAACCCTTGGCTGAAGTAGCTCAGTTGGTTGAACCTTCTCCCATGCACGAAGGGGTCACTGGTTCAATTCCCGATCAGGGCACATGCTTTGGTTGGGGGCTCATACACCTGGTGGTGGGCAGTAGGGGACAGCAATCAATGTTTCTCTCTCTCTCTCTCTCTCTCTCTCTCTCTCTCTCTCTCTCTCTCTCTCTCTCTCTCTCTCCTCTCTCTCCTTTTCTAAAATCAATAAAATATATTTTTTAAAAAGAAAAAAATATTATTTTATACAAGCATTACTTTGAGTCTCCCAACCACCATAGGAAGTGAAATAGTCATTTCTACTATTTTACAAATAAAGGTATTAAAAACAAAAAGTTTGAGTTCTGCCTGGCCAGTGTGGCTCAGTAGTTGAATGCCAACCTATGAACCAGGTAATCACAGTTCGATTCCCAGTCAGGGCACTTGCAGGGCACAGTGTGGGGGCGTGCAGGAGGCAGCTGATCGATGATTCTCTCTCATCATTGGTATTTCTATCTCTCTCTCCCTCTTCTGCCTCTCTGAAATCAATGAAAAAACACATTTAAAAAAAAAATTGAGACCTAATGTCTAGCTATTGCTGGAACCAGTATTTAACAAAACTGCTTTCTCTGTCCTATTCTGACTGTTCAAATCCTATCCTTCATTTAAAGATAAGCTCAAAGTCCACTGCTGGCTAGAATATCCTGTCTACCTGAAGATCTCCCTGTATATTTTGTTCTCACAAGGACTACCTCTATCACCTGTCACTCCCCACCTACTGCTTTATTTTGATTTAGTTTTTCATGATCAAAATTGTACATTCTTGCCAAAGCCGGTTTGGCTCAGTGGTAGAGCATGGGTCTGCGGACTGAAAGGTCCCAGGTTCGATTCCGGTCAAGGGCATGTACCTTGGTTGTGGGCACATCCCCGGTAGGGGGTGTGCAAGAGGCAGCTGGTCGATGTTTCTCTCTCATCGACGTTTCTAACTCTCTCTCTCCTTTCCTCTCTGTAAAAAATCAATAAAATATATTTTAAAAAATTGTACATTCTTGGAGGGAGGGGTCCAGAGTTTTTTTTCTTGTACATTTTTTTTTTAAGAGAGAAGGGAAGTGAGGGAGAGGAAGAGACCTAGGATTATAGCAGCCTAGCTGGATCCATGCTATCAATTTCTGCAACCCCCAATCCATCCTCCAGAAATATGCTCCTGAAACATACTTCTGATCATCAACTTCTTATGCCACCCTGACTTGCTCAGTGATACTGTTAGAGCCAAGCTGTATCTCCTCAGCAGGAAACAAAGTCCTTTACCCTGTGCTCCCATCTTCTGCACTCCTCTCACAACCTAATCACCAATCCTTGAGACATCTAGCTGCTGACTGAATACGGTATGTAATTCCAAGCTTATATGGCTTACATATACTGCTTCTCCAGTCTAGAGTTCCCTTCCATATTTTTCTTATAAACTCCTACTCACACTTTAAGATCTAGCTTAAATGTTCTCTATGAAGAGTTCCTCTTCCTAGTATCAAAGGCAAAATTAATTGATCCTCTCTTCCTAGCCGTTTAGGAACATGACCATTATATGGCCAATCACAATAAATTTTAAGTATTTTTGAATACTTTCGTTATCCCTACAGGCTGTGAGTATCTTCAGAGCAGAAACCACATTTCATTTATGTTTATATACCTACCATATAGCACATGCACTAATTTAATGGAATTCTTGCACCCAGGAGTAAATTTTTTCTTTTTTATTAACGTAAGTATTTTTATTTTTATTTTTAACTTGGAAGACTTAAGCCACTTTAACAGACACAGAAGTCTAATTGGCATGTCTGTAGTTCTTTGCATATTTTTAATCCTTATACTTATTTAACCCATCTTCCCAGTAAAGGTCTATACTTGGTCCCTCCCTGTAGCCCTTAGCAACCTTTTCATTGTCTCATTCAAGGATATCAGGGTTGCGGTTTCATTGTTCATCTTCTTAAGACAAAGTGAAAAGAAACAAAAACCAAACAAAAGCCCAATATAGGTTTGAATCCAGGATTTCCTGCTGTCTTCCACTCAGCAACAGGCAGCACCAGCGCGAGCATTCGACCTAAATTCTCCTGAAAGGTCACTCAGTACTAGAAGCTTTTAATAGCTTGTACATCCAAATATAGTTTCAAAGTAATGATCGTGTGGACACAGGTGTCCTGGAATGCACTATAATGTTTGCCTTTGAAAAATGAGCTGTAGTACATCAACAGAGCACAAAAACCAGATGTAATTGTAGTTCTAAATATTTTTGTAAATGTATATATGGATACACAAAGATAGACATATACTAGAATTAGGTTTGATGGAAATATAACTCAAATTTTAACATTATTCAGTTATCACCTAAGTTAGGTTTAAAGAAAGCCCCAGATCATTTATTGAAAGCTGCTACCGTGTTTCCCTGAAAATAAGACCTAGTGCACGGAAAGATAAGACATCCCCTAAAAATAAGACCTAGCGCAACTTTGGGAGAAAAAAATTAATATAAGACAGTGTCTTATTTTCGGGGAAAAAGGGTAGTATTAGGTTAGGTATTGTAAATAAAAATAAGCATAAAACAGGATTCTGGAATTTAAGGGATTCCAACTCTAATTGGGGAGATAGGACCTTTCTTAAAAAGAAAATGTAGCCCTGGCTGGTGTGGCTCAGATGGTTGAGTGTTCTCCTATGCACACAGGTCACTGATTCCCAGTTAGGACACATTCCCAGGTTGCAGGTTCGATCCCCAGTGTGGGGCATTCAGGAGGCAGCCGATCAATGATTCTTTCTTATCATTGATGTTTCTCTCTCTCTCTCCCTCTCCCTTCCTTTCTGAAATCAATAAAAAACATTTTTAAAAAGAAAATGTGTATAAAATGTGTGCTAAATAGGTACAGACCATAAAAATTATAGATGAGAGCAGGTCACTGAAGCCTTGTGTAATTCAGAAACGCTCACATTGAAAGTAGGATTTGGGCTCTGCCTTAAAGGAAATGTAAGTCTTTAATTATCAGAAAGTAAAGAGAAAGATATTACAAACTGGAATAATCATGTGACGAAAATTATAGAGGTGGCAAGGTAAATAACGGTTAGGGAAAATTGTGTGGGTATGTCTTAAACATAAGATTCATGTAAGAAAAAGAAAAACAGAATTTAAACTGATAAATCCGGGTCATGAATTTATTTATTTGTTGAATGATTTATTCACTTGCTCAATATTTATTCAATATTTACTGAACACCATAAATACCAATGGAATGGCTAAAACCTAGACATGATCAGCACTATTCCAGGTATTGAGAATACAATGATGAACAAGGCAAAACCTTTTCCGTGAGGAACATACTAACTAGTAAGGAGACAAAAAACAAGGAGTACAAAAGAATGAATGGGTTCTAGATAGCCTGGTAGGAAGTTTCCCAGTCAGGACATATAGGGGAGATGTAGATTCTACAAAGTTAATCAGTGGTGTTTAGGATAGATCTAAGTGGGAATAAAACCAGAGGCAGATATGCCCCTCAGAACACGGCTACACAGTCAGGTATGAGGTGATGAGGGAGATTACAAAGAGTGGGAAGGCAAAGGGACAGATACGAGAAACATTCTAACTCCCCCCATGGACTCCTGGGGGTTAGTCAGTAAGCTTCACATAAATCCTTAGAAAACTTTGGGAATCAAGTCCCTCCTTGCCTCAGTGGGAAAAACCTTGCTAGGGTCTCATGTCTTACCAATAGCCCTCCTCCTCTCCACCCACCCCATCTACTTTTATCTCATTAACAGAATCCAAGTTTTGTTCAAGTACTGGGAAGCCATGTGCTTCAGGAAAGGCTGGGCCTCTCCCCAGTCACAGGTGAATCTTAATTAGATTATGCCAATCATATTAATTTTATTATTGTTGCTATTTCTATTGGTTTGGGAATGGGCAGGTGGCATTATTCTGGCCTATGAAATGTGAGAAGAGGTCTCCTGTGGGGCTTCTGAAGTGTTTTGTTGTTTTTTTAAATTGTGATAAAATATACATAACATAAAATTTACCATTTTGGCGAAGGTGGGTGAAATGTACCAAAAAGTACAAACTTCCAGATATAAAAAAGTCTTGGGGATGGATGTAATGAACAGCATGAAATCTATAATTAATAGTACTGTACTATATATTTGAAAGTTTTCTTGAAAGTTTTCATCACAAGAAAAAAAATTGGTAGTTCTGTGTGGTGATAGATGTTAACTAGATTTATTGTGTTGATAATTTCTCAATATATACTTTTTTTTTTTTTAATCAGGTCATCATGTTGTAACCCTGAAAATAATATATAGTAGTCCACCCCCCTTATCTGTGGGGGATACTTTCCAAGACTCCCAGTGGATGTCTTGAAACCTCTAAAAGTACTAAACCCTCTGTAACTTTTCCCCCAGAGTCCATACAGCTGAAAGGGAGGGAGGGAAGGACAGGGAGAGAAAAAAAAGAAACATCCAGTTGTTGTTCCACTTATTTATGCATACATTAGTTGATTCTTGTATGTGCTCTGACCAGGTATTGAACTACCGTATTTTTCGGACCATAAGACGCACTTTTTTCCCCCCAGAAGTGGGGGGAAAAAGTCCCTGCGTCTTATGGTCCAAATATAGCCTACACATATACTTTAAAAAAAAGTTTTTTTACTTGCCCGGCTCTGTGTGGTCTCTGTGTGCTTGCCCGGCTCTAAAATGGTTCTAAATGCTGCTGTTTACTTTACAGGGTTGATTACATGTGTTTATGACTGTGATGTTGGGTTTTAATGCACATAAAATATTTTAGGACACTATTTGTTTCAGAATCTTTTTTTCTTCATTTCCCTTCTCTAAAAACTGGTGCATCTTATGGTCCGGAGCGTCTTATGGTCCGAAAAATACGGTAGCAACCTTGCTGTATAAGGATAATGCTCTAACCAACTAAGTTAGTTGGCCAGGGCTACCTTTGTCTTTCTAAATAAACTTTGGTTGTATTTGAGTTCCTTGGCTCTGAGTTCTTTTCTGAGCTGAACTCAAGGACTGAGGTCTAACATCTGGTGCTGTTCCCCGTCAATAGAATCACCTCACAAAATATGTGTAATTCTCTCCTTAGGCCCTGTTTCTGGTGCACATCAAATTAAGACTTACACATACTTACAGCAAGATTAGCATTGACCCCCAAATGGATTACTTTCACGTTTATTATATATGTATAAGCATATTCAAAGACAGTGGGGTTCCTATGGGAACTTCAGATGGCCCTGATTGCAGGCTAGGCCTAGGGACCATTCCAGCACACGATTTTGTGTGCCGGGCCTCTAGTTAGTATATGTCTTTGGTTTATCTTTTCTTGCCCCCCAACCCTACATCAGGGTATATCAGTCTGTTCCATGCCTCCATGCTTCAGGTCTTTTGTTGGTCAATTCATTTTGTTCATCAGATTCCACAAGTAAGTAAGATCATGTGATATCTGTCTTTCTCAGATTGGCTTATTTCACTTAGCAAAATATTTTATAGGAATATTTATTTATTTATTTAACAGAGAGGAAAAGGGATAGTTAGGAACATTGATGAGAAACATCAATCAGCTGCCTCCTGTACACACCCTATGGGGATGTGCCCTCAACCAAGGTACATGCCTTTGACCGGAATCGAATCTGGGACCTTTCAGTCCGCAGACCGACGCTCTATCCACTGAGCCAAACTGGTTTCAGCTTACAAGAACATTTAAAAAATGATTTCCAAAAAAATTGAAGTATTTACAAACTTAATGTCGGTGATGTGATATAAGAAATTTATATTTGGTCTTTGTGGTACAGGGCTTCTAAAACACTTATAACTTTCCAAGTGATAAGAACAAAAGGAATGTCTTTTGTTATATCTGTTACTTTTGTCCCCAGCTCCAAAAACAGGTGAAAGGAGCATCTTTTATTTGGTTTTAATCCTCCAGTTAAAAATAGCTCTGAAATGATCAAAGTGAGTGTCCTTTGTTATTCATAACCTGCCATTTCAAACACACCCAAGTTTATTAATGAGGCAAGTTTTAGAAAGCCCCTAAGGATGTGGGGCTGGTTGCCACAACCACCTCATGATTAAGTTGGAATTTTCAGCCCCATCCCTGAACCTCTGGGAAAGGGGTCAGGGCAGGAGACTAGTTTAATCACCAATGGCCAATGACTTTATCAACCGTGCCTACTGTAATGAAGTAGCCATAAAAACCCAAACCAAAGGAGTTTGGAGAAGCTGAGTTTGATGAACAAGAACACAGAGAGGGTGGGTACCCCCAAATCCACAGGGACAGAAGCTCCTATGCTTTGAACACTTCTAGACCTCACCCTATGCTTCTCTTCATCTGGTTATTCATTTCTGTTCTTCAATATATCTTTTGTAATGAATCAGTAAGTAAACGGTTTCCTTAGGTTCTGTGAACCATTCTAACAAATTACCAAATTTGAGGAGGGTCATGGGAACCCTTGATTTATAGCCAGTCAGAGTACAGGTGACACCTTGGGACTTTTGATTGGCATCTGAAGTGGGAGCAGATTTGAGGGACTGATCCCGTGGGGTCCAAGCTACCTCTGGGCAGTTAGTTTGAAAATTGGGTTAAATTGTAGGATACCCAATTGTAGTGAGAACTGGAGAATTTGAGAATTGCTCAATGTGAAAAATCCACATATCTTGAGTGTGGAGAGGAAATGATGTGTTTTCTTTTCTTCTTTAAATATATTTTATTGATTTTTTTACAGAGAGGGAGAGTTAGAAACATCGATGGGAGAGAATCATCGATCAGCTGCCTCTTGCACACCCGCTACTGGGGATGTGCCTGCAACCAAGGTACATGGCCCTGACCGGAATCAAACCTGGGACCTTTCAGTCCGAAGGCCGACGCTCTATCCACTGAGCCAAACCGGTTTCAGCTGATGTTTTCTTTTAATAACTTATTACAAAGTGAATACACTCATGTAACCCTAACCAAAATCAAGAAACAGAATATTACCAACTTGCCAGAATTGGCATAGCACCTGGGACTCTTCCTAATCATTGTTCTCCTTATCTTCCCAAAAGATAACCATTATGACTCATTATACATTAATTAGTTTTGTCTGTTTTTGAACTTCTTGTAAATGGGATCAGGCAGTATGTATTTTTAACAGCTTTATTGAAATATATTTCATATATCATACAAATGACTCATTTTAAATATAAATTTCAAGAGGTTTTAGCATATTTACCATCATCACAATCACTCCCATTCCTTCCTAATTGCTTTTCCCTGTCACCAGCGCTAGCAACCATTTACCTATGTTCTGATTCTCTAGATCTGTCTATAATGTACACTTAATATAAATGCATATATGCAAAAAAGGCTGAAAAATGAGTTAAGTGTTATCTTAAGATGTTAGAAAAAGAATTAAACCTAAAGATGATAGACTGAAGGAGAAACAGAAAATAGCTAAATAATAGAATTATCAAAGGCAAACATTGGTTCTTAGAAAAGCTCCTGAAAAAAAATGTTCCTGAAAAAAAAAAGGGGGGGGGGGGAGAGACATGCTCCTGATAAGACTATTAAAAATGAGAAACCAGATAAGCAATAACAGGATTGACATGTAAACAGGTATTACAATACATATAAACAGGTATTAAAAAACTAAAAGGATATATTTTAAAATAAAGTCACATTTTATTGATTTTTTTTTTTTTTTTTTAGAAAGGAAGGGAGAAACATCAACCGGTTGCTTTCCTGCACACACTCTGACCAGGGATCTACCTCATAACCTGAGTATGTGCCGGACTGGTAATAAAACTTGTGACCTTTGGGTGCATAGAATGATGCTCAACCAACTGAGCCACAATGGCCAGGGCTAAAGCTAAGAAGATATTATAAACAAATTCATGCAATAAATTTGGAAATCTATATGAATATCCAAGTGGCTGCATATACCAACTGTTCCGTTTTATTCTAAGCAGTATTCCATTGTGTAGATATTATCACAATTTCACCATAAACCTGTTTAAGGAATCTGGGCTGATTCTAGTTTGGGGCTATCAGAAATAAAGCTGCTATAAAATCCATGTACAGGTTTTTATGCGGACATTTGTTTTTAAAAAAATATATATTTTATTGATTTTTTACAGTGAGGAAGAGAGAGGGATAGAGTTAGAAACATCGATGAGAGAGAACCATCGATCAGCTGCCTCCAGGAATACACTTGTTTTAGGGATGACTGGTTCCAGGCTCAAAATTACTGTGAGGATTCTACCTCTTCACTTCTAAGACTTTCCACAGGCGAGGCACTATAGACTAACATCCTATAAACTTAGCTACCCCCCAGTAGTACATGACAGCTATCATTGGACTTCTCAGATATGTGAATCAATAAATTCCTTTTTATTCCCTTGAACCAATTCAATTTTGAATTCTGTCACTTGTAACAAGTGTTCTGACAGTTATCAAGGGGTTCTCCTCAAACAAGGATAATGGTAACTAATCAGATTCTCTCTTCAAAACTTCGAATATAAGAGTAGGATGTATAAGCAGAAGTCGAAAGAACATGCAAGGAAGACAGCAATCCAGGCCATGAAAAGAAGTTTAATATTGATACTCGATCTTGGCCTCTATTTTCTATCTCTTCTTTTTTCTATCTTATATCTTGAGCTTATTTGTGACTGCAGTTTATTTTTGGTCTTACCTGCATCATGGCCAGGATTGCTGCATAATATACTAAACTGATTTGATTCTAAAACCCTCTTCTTAGAAACAGCAAAGGGCAAATTGTCACTAAAGCCTTCTGGGCTTTACACAGAACAAGCAGTAACAGGTTTCCTCTTCCAGCCTGGTAAGGCTCCGCACAGCATCCTAGAATCTGAAATAACTATATTCTAACTAGCGTAGTGACCACATTTGAGTCAGGATGTGGGCTTCCCTAAGTTAAGAGGCTTAACAAGAAAAACTGAGATCCTTTGTAGGCAAGTAACTGTACCTGCAAATTTCCTGGGTTTTCAAGTTACTTAACACCCTGAGTCTCAATTCTTGTGCCAATAAAATGGGGGAAATCATTGATTTGGAATAAAAAAATGAAATATACATAAAATCACTGGATATGTTCAGTAATGAGCTAATATTAGTTCACTTCCCCTAAATTTTAATGTCACTCACTATATGAAGTATTATCCAATTATCTTCTTTTGCTCAAATGTCTTAAAATTTATACAATGGAATGGTATTTTTCTACATATAACAAACAGTTTAAACAAAGAAACAAGTTTGTTTTTTTAATCTAAAACGTTGGCTAGTTATTCAAATGTTTTTATTGGATTTAAAATTCATTTAATGGATACACAGATATACAACTAGTTTGATCAGCTACTAATATATTTTGGCAACCCTTTATTTTTGTACTCAAGAGCCAGTTCACTTTTTCTCCATGTTCAATACTTAGCTTTGGTAAAATTTTGCCCTGTTCCTCATGTGTCACTGAAGTATTAGTGTTTCCATCCTGGTTGGTATAAGTTGCTCTTTTAGTGCTTTTTCTGTGGGTATGTTTTGTAGGACTCTTCTGTTTTTTCTCAACTTCACTGCTTACATCCCACATCATTACCTTCCCATCATTCCCTCCAGTAAGCAGCAAATAAGATTCTGGCAGAAAGCAGACCTGGGATACTCCCAAAGTGTGGCCCTTAAATCCCAATTCTTGTTCACATTTGACTCCCATTACCCTGAAGATTCGAATCTTTCCGTCTTCTGCACCACAACTAAAAATATTGCCGCATGCTGCCACGGACACAGAATGGGCTAGAGCAGGGTTTAAGAGCTGCCCCGGTGACTGCGGGCTCTCCATTGCTTCTGTTTCATCCTCCTGTAAATTTGTAACCCAGAGTGGCCGGGCTTTCTGAAGGTTCCACAGCATCACCTTTAAACAAAAGAGTGTTACACTGTCAAATAAAGTTCTAGCCATCCCGCTAAACTACTGTGCATATTCGGCTTCTAATAAAACCATCAAAATAGTCTGAGATTAATTAGTAGGATATACTTCCAGCAATATTAAGAAAAAAATTAGAGGGCACTACAATATGGCACTGGAATGCTACCGTGGTGCCAAAACTAGAATGCCAATGGGCAGTAAGATAGGATCTAGAAAACAAGATCCTGAATAACTTTCCATTAATAAGACTATTAAAATGTAATCCAAATTATTAAGCAGTTGCCAGTTTTCTTTAGGTCATTCTACTCTCATCTGTGCAAATAAAATTAAAGACTATGAAATTTCCTAACTATTCCAGCCGCTTTTCTCTTTCCCATTTCTAATTCCTATGCTATTAACTAACATTACTAGCTTGTCAGTTTTTGGAGATTTAATACATCTTTGCTAATGCTTAGTATAATGCCTGGAAAAGAGCAGAAATTCCAAACCTATCTGTTGATTAATTTGACATTTTGGTATATTTGGCTTTTTGTTGTTCCCTACCACGATCTCAGACCTACTAAATTTATTTAAATGAAGTGCTAATTAAAATGAAACAATAAGCTTTGTGAATTGATTTCACTCTATAGTGATTCGTTTTCTTCCTACAGCAACCAATTTGAAAAGGAAAATATTTTTAATACTTTTAGAGAATATACAGCTTTATTTTACCATTTAGTATTATCCCTGAATTATGACTCACAATTTAAAATGGATACTAGGATGCCAAGACTGGTTTGGTTCAATGGATAGAGCATCGGCTTGGGGACTGAAGGGTCCCGGGTTCGATTCCGGTCAAGGGCATGTACCTTGGTTGCGGGCATATCCCCAGTAGGGGGTGTTCAAGAGACAGCTGATTGATGACTCTCATTGATGTTTCTAACTCTCTATCTCTCTCCCTTCCTCTCTGCACAAAATCAATAAAATATAAAATAAAATAAAATGGATACTAGGATAAGCAAAATTTTGTTTAGATAGTCAAAACCATAGATCTGAATTGGTAAGATTACTCCTGCTCAAGTTAACTCAAGGTTAACTTCCATCAAGTCTGCTTTCCAAATAAGTGAAATACAGTAACATTTATTTTCTGCTTCTAGTAGAAAAAGAACTGAAAATCCTTTTGGATTGGATTTATAACATTATACTAAGTGGAGAGTAATTGCTATTGGAGTGAAGCCAGCATAATAATAAGTTAAAGTAACTTTTAGTAAAATAAAAAATATCAGAAAATATAAAAATGAATGAGTACTAGAACTTGATGTGGAAATAATCTAAAAAAAAAAGAAGTCTGGCCACCATGGCTCAGTGGTTGAGCGTGGACCTTGAACCAGCTGGTCACCATTCGATTCCTGGTCAGGGCACATGTCTGGGTTGCAGGCTCCATCCCCAGGGTGGGGAATTCAGGAGTCAGCAGATTGGTGATTCTCTCTCATAATTGATGTTTCTATCTCTCCCTCTCCCTTCCTCTCTGATGTCAATAAAAATAAATAAATAAAAACACACATATACACAAAACAAAAACAAAAAAACTCACCCCATCCTGAACAAAGGAAAATACACACTCCAGAATCTGCTAGCTTAACTGTACTGGCAGTTAACCCCAAGTTCTTTCTCACACAGGCCCCCTAAGGCCCCCTAAAAATATCTGGAATATACTTATTGTCCCTAAGACATCCAAACATGAACTAGTATACCCTGTTTTCAGAAGCGTAAACATTTTGTATTAATTAAATCATCTACATGTGTTAATAACCATCCCAGTTTCTACCAATTCAAGAATCATTTCCAAGTACTGAAGATTCCCAAATTGTTCTTGTGTATTTTTTTTTAATAAATTGTTCTCTTTATATTTCTTTGTTCTTCCTAACTGCTAAAGATTCCAAAGTATTTTACAATTTCTCAACCACTTGTTCAAGCTGTATCATCTAAGTAGGAGAGCTAGAGATAATGACGAAAAAAAATACAAGAGTTTGGGTTAAAAAAGAGCCTGAGGTTATCTATACTGATAGAGGAATATGCAAACTGACCAGGAGAAAATAAATGTCACTGTATTTCACCTGTCACAGTAATGACTGAACAGCAGGCTTTGTGGGGTGACCAGGCTGGCAGGGGGGGTTAGTGAGGAATGACCAAACGACTGAACAGCAGGCTGTGTGGGACAACCAGGCAAGTGGTGATAGTAGTGGGGATGGGGGGCTGCTAGGGGCAACCAGTCCAGCAAGGGGGGCAGCTACCAGGCTGGTGGCGGAGGGGGCAGTTAGGGACAACCAGGCCAGCAGGCAGAGGCGGTTAGGAGTGATTAGGCTGGCGGAGAGGGGGGGGGGCAATTAGATGCGATCAGGTAGTTGCCTACTGGGAATTGACACCTTTCGGTGTACAGGACAGCACTCTAATCAACTGAGCTACAGGTGCTATAGTGAGAAAGTTTTCTTTAATTAAACCAAATTCTGCTTCCTTATGACTTCTATTTAGACCAGCATATTCCACTTTTCCCCTCATGAAACCCAAAATTTATTTATTTATTATTTCTTTTTTTAGCACGCTCGTACTATGGTTTTAATAGACGTACATGGACAAGTCGATATAGACAGATTTATAATTCTATACAGTCAATCCGACATACACAGGGGTGCGGGCCGGAGAGCGGGTGTGCAAAGTGGGCGCGGCGAGAGGCTGCGGCCAGGCCCGGAGCTCCCGGCTCGGCTCGCTTCTTCTTGCACCGACCGCAGCTCTGCACAGGGGCCAGGGGGTCGCCTCCCAGCCCGGCGCTGCGGAGCGGAGGACCTGGGGCTGCCTGCGGGGAGGCCGGGGCGCTCAGAGCCGAATCCCCCCCTCATCCCCGAGCCGCATCCCCCCCTCCAATCCCCGCGCCGCATCCGCGGCTCCGTAGCCTAATAGTTTCCCGGGCGCCAGGCAGCCGAGGGCTCCGGGGCGCACCGGGGCCCTGTGTGTGCGGCTCCTCGGCGAGTCCCCGGGAAAACCAAAATTTAAATACCTGCAGTTTCAGACATAATGGGGTTTCTAGATATACTCTCCTCTGAATATGAGCTGATTTGTGATGTTCCTTTCAAAACTCAGCATGAATATAATGCTCCAATCCTGGTCACCAATATACAATATAATATTTCAATTAACATACTCCAGAATTTAAAAAAATATGTATTAATTGATTGATTTCAGAGAGGAAGAGAGGGAGAGAGAAACATCAATGATGAGAGAATCATTGATTGGGGGCCTCTTGTACACCCCCTACAGGGGATAGAGCCTGGAACCCAGGCATGTTCCCTGACCAGGAATTGGAACTGTGTCCTCCTGGTTCACAGGTCAATGCTCAACCACTGAGCCACACCAGCTGGGCAATGCACCCCAGAATTTTAAAGTAAACAACAGATCCACCCTGGCCAAAAACAAAACAAAACAACAGATCCAGTCCCTCCAACTTTTCTTTTTTTTTTATAAAGTAGGAGATGAATTCTGCCTTCAGCATGTTCCTTTTTTTAAACAAATGTTTAGAATCAAATATTTGAATTCTCAGATATTAGGAATGTATTAAAGCACAGAGAAAAGACTAAATAATTAGTGATTACTTTGTGAATAAAATCTAACAGGCTTTGTCAAGTTAGCATAAAACATGCATTAGAAGTAAAGCTTATGGTTCATGTTAGTAGAAAATAAAAAATTTAAAGATATATTTAGTCTATTCAATTTCATTCTGCTAACACATCCCATTTAGAAATTACCCAAGTATTCTTTGCAAAGCATCACCTGCATATCCAGTCCACATGACACCAGGCTCTGAGGCCTTTGAGGCCGAAAAGCCACAGAAGAACAGATGTTGGAATGTCTCTTTAGCGATCTGCTAACTTTCTTATTTTCCAAATCTAGGATTTTGATTGCTCCGGAATCATCAGCAGAAGCCAGCAGGTTTTCAGTTTCATTCAATGAAAGGCAATTTATTTCTTCTTCATTCACATGAAAATGGTCCAGGGAACCCTTGAGGGATCTGACATCCAGTATGCTAATAGTTTCCCCATGCGAGGCATAGAGCTTGGTGGGGCAGGAGGGAGAGAATAAGACACAGGTAACGTCGTTGGCCCCTTCTAAGCGTGTATGTCCCAATGGAGTCCCATCTTCACCCCAAGTCACGAGATCTCCACCCTCTGCTCCAGAAGCCACTAGTCCTTCTGAACTTGCATTCAGGCAGAGAATAGGAGAAGAATGTCCACCAATCCACTTGACAGCCATAATGGCTGAAACTGTGAAGGAGAAAAAACTATAATGTCATATTTTACTTAAGAACTTAATAGTAGGAGACAAATGCAATAAATAGTATTTCATTGAAATATTTTTTTAAGACATCTAAACAACTCAACAACAAAAAGACAGTTGAAGATCAAGCCTAGCTGAACACAGAATTGTGGGCAGATCAAGCTGGAACACGCTGAAAGGGGCTTCCTGGGCAATTGGGAACCCAGGTGAGCCTGGTTCTCCGACCTTTGGTGAGGCTCACATAAGAATAAACACTAGACGAAACCGGTGTGGCTCAGTGGACAGAGCGTCTGCCTGCGAACTGAAAGGTCCCAGGTTCGATTCCGGTCAAAGGCATGTAACCTTGATTGTGGGCACATCCCCAGTAGAGGGTGTGCAGGAGGCAGCTGATTGATGATTCTCTCTCATCAATGTTTCTAACTCTCTATCCCTCTCTCTTTCTCTCTGTAAAAAAAAAAAATCAATAAAATATATTTTTAAGAAAACTAAATATATTTATTTTAAATTAGGAAAAATTAAAAAAGATCAGGAAAAATTATTTTTAAGAGAGGGCTGCACAACCATCAGGTAATATTTTTTATCAGAATAATGTTTTAGAGAGTGAGCTCTGGAACTAGAGTCTCTGGGTACGACTAGTACCACTACCTACTAGCTGGCTGACTTTGGGCAAGTTACAGAACCTCTTCTCTGTGATCACTTTCCTTCTCTATAAAATGGGGACAATGATAATGGTAACACCCATTTCATAGAATCAGTAATATATGTAAAGCACATAAAATAGTGCCTGGTAAATAATGAGTGCTCATCAAATATTACCATTCTCCCTTTTTTCATTTTATTAAGCTGGTCAAAGTGGCATCATATATGTTACACCAATGGTTCTCAAAGTATGGCTTCAGACTAGCAGCATCGATATCATCTAGGAACTTGTTAGAAATAAAAATTGTCAGACCTCGCCTTAGGCCCACTGAATCACAAACTGGAGTTGGGGTCCAGCTATATGTTCTAACACCCCCCACCACTGATTATTCTGATGCAGGTTAGAATTTGAGAACCTGTACTACACCAATCATTTGGGAAACTGGTTAGAAATGCAGACCCTTAGGTCTTAGCACCTGAGACTAAATTAAAAGGTTATTTGCTTTTATTCTTAAAACCTTTCTGCTTAGAATTATTCTATTTTATAGATAATAAAACTGAGTTTCAGAAATGTTTAATAATTTGTCCAACGACTCCTGGCCCTTAAAATTTGTACAGGGACCCAGTATAAAGGGATACTAAACTTTTAAATGAATAATGAAGACCAGGTCTTGGCTGGGTAGTTCATATGGTTAGAGCAGTGGTCGGCAAACTCATTAGTCAATAGAGCTAAATATCAACAGTACAACGATCAAAATTTCTTTTGAGACCCACATTTTTTAAACTTAAACTTACTCTAACGTCACTTCTTCAAAACAGACTCGCCCAGGCCATAGTATTTTGTGGAAGAGCCACACTCAAGAGGCCAAAGAGCTGCAGGTGGCTCATGAGCTGCAGTTTGCCGACCATGAGGTTAGAGCATTGTCCCAGAATGCCAAGGTTCAGAGTTCCATAACTGGTCAGGGCACATATAAGAATCAACCAATAGCCTGGCCTATGAGGCTCAATAGTTGAGTGTCAACCAGAAGGTCATGGTTCGATTCCTGGTCAGGACACAAGGCCAGGTTGCTGTCTTGGTCCCCAGTGGGGGGTGTGCAGGAGGCAGCCAGCCAATCAGTGATTCTCTTTTATCATAAATGTTTCTAGCAGCTCTCTCTTCCTGCCTCTCTAAAATAAAGAAAAATATATTTTTTTAAAAAATCAACCAACCAATGAATGGATAACTAAGTGGAACAACAATTTGATGTTTCCTCTCTCTAAAAATAAAAATAATTTTTAAAAAGAAAAATTTTACAAAATTTATTTTAAAAACTTAATTAAAAACAGTTTGTTAGTATCTCCCCCTCCCCATTTTTTTTTTTTTAACTCATTTTAGAGGGGGAGAGAGACAGAAACATCAATGAGAGAAAATGCCTCCTGCATTCCCCACACCTGGGATTGAGCCCGAAACCTAGGCATATGACCTCACTGGGAATTGAACCATGACCTCTTGGTTCATAGGTCAATGCTCAACCAGTGAACCAATGCTCAACAAGCTGGGCTTGTTAGTATTCTTTACCAGGTAAAGTACAGAAAATGACTAAAATATACTAGTAATTCATTACTGCTTTTAAATGTACTTGTTGGGGGCAAAAATAGAATATTGAGAACTAGCTATATTTATAAGAAATATTAAATATGTTCTGATTGCCTTGTTCTAATTAAAGAAAGGACATTCTAATCTGGCTGAGAGTTGTGCACACCCAGGAATCTGGGAGTCAACCTAGGAATGCGGACCAGTCTCCTTCACTCACTGCCTATTATCCTGGAAGGATTAACAATCAGGTGGCCCAAACAATGGGAGTCCTGCCCGGCACACAAAGCCTACTTCCTCATGCCTGTAATACTCCATTGCATACCTATTCTTATTCCTTTTGCCCAATTCCCCGAGTCATCTCGGTCCCACCCAATATAAGCAGCTTGGTTATGGGGGGTTTCAGAGCAGATTTTTGTGGATGGCCTGCTGCTCTCCCATACTGCCGGCATTATTGGAATAAATGCTCATATATGATTCAACCTTGTCTCTGCTTAATTGCCTCTAGTGACAGGCAGCCCGGACCCAATATTGTCAGTTTATTAATGTAAAAATATTAAAACCTGTAAAGAATTTTTGTGAGTTTATTTGAGCCAAACTGAATTGACAATTGCCAGTAAGCTGAATCTCAATGGATTGGGATAATGCTCTGAAAAATGGCATTTTTTTTTCAAGAAAAACAATTTTAAATATATATAACGTTACATGCAATAAACATTAATATTTCAAGAAGAATGGCAGTTTTTCATCTATTTTTATAGGTTGCAATCAAAAGAGGAGACGAAATGAAATCCATTGGTGATAGATTAGAGAGGCGGGAGAAAGCAAAGGGTAGGGGGAAGTCTGGGATTGAATAACAAGTAAGATGATAGACACATACTTCTTTTACTTAGGTGGGTACAAGATATTTAACAGTCAACAATATATACTAAGAAAAGGGTAATGTGCTAATTAGACTGGGAGATCTGGGAGACCTTCTGGATAAAGCCATGGTGGGGGGGGCCAAGGCAGAGGCAGTTAGGGGTGATCAGGCCAGCAGTCGGACATCCCTCTCACAATCCGGAACCCATACAGCTGCCGTCACAGCTCTCTGGAAATGTGCTTCAGATGCATGAAGTTGCAGAAGTCACCTTGTGTACACTCTCCCATTTCATATTGGCGGCAAAAGGCTTCCCAGAAGTCGGTCACAAGGGGAAAGGTCAGCTTGGATGGGCTGCCCTATTGAACCAGCAGCGGCTATTCAAGTCAATCACAGCTTTCTCTGAATCTTCTTCATCATTCAACTTCACGTTTCCTACAAGATGATCTCCAAGATTAACACAGATATTTATCTCCTCCATTTCTGTGAAAACCTCAAAAAACCCGTCATAGGGTTCCCTGCATCTCGACATTGCTCACAGAACAGCGCGGCGGAGTTTTGAGGATTATGGTACATGTTCAAGAGGGCAATGGTGTGGCTAAAGGTCGGTTTATTGCACTACCAAGAGCATCTGTCTCCATGACGGCATCCTCCAATTTTGAAATAAAATGAACAGTTGACTTTGTGCTTCTCAGTGCCAAAGATGGAGGCCAAATACTCTGTCATTTCCCGCCCACAGCCTCCGACAGTGCTGCTGAGGCCGCCCAAACTCAATTTTTAATTTCTTTATGGTGTATTAATATTAAAGTCTAGAAATCTGCCCTCTACAGCTTCAGGACTCTTTATTACTTAATGTCTTTATTGACTTCAGAGAGAGGAAGGGAGAGGGAGAGAGGGATAGAAACATCAATGACAAGAATCACTGACTAGCTGCCTCCTGCACACCCCTTATTGGGATCAAGCTCCAAGCCCTGCATTTGGCCTGAGAACTGAACCATAACATGGTGCTGACTACCTAACAGGAAACTGAGAAGTGGCAGACAGAAGAGTGGGGTCTTAAACCAGCCCCCACTGAGGCATTAAAACTCAGCTGAAACAAATGACACTTCACTTTTTAAAAAACCTTTTATTAAAAATATTTATTTTTTCATATTTTTCCTTCATTCTAATTTTATTATTTTACCTTTCCCCCACCCCACCCTTTTCTTCTTCACTTCTCCATCTTTCATCCTGTTTCCTCTTCCTCTGTCCCTCTTTAGTTTCTCTTTCCTTTCTTTTTACCCCTTGTTAATCTTCTTTGTCTGTTTTATTGACGTGATATTACTGTGGTCTCTGTTGGCTTACTCATATATCTCATTTCCTCTCCTTTGCTCCAAGTCCAAGCACCCTACTATTTTCTCTTTCTTCACCAATTTTTTTGTTGCTTGTTTTTCCTCTCCTCTCTTCTCTTCTCCTCCTAATTAATTAGTATCATTCACTAAACTTAAGCTTACCTGCTCTTTTCTCTATTCTTTTCCCAAAATGGAGGAATAAGTGAAGGTAAATTTTTTAAAATTAGTTTTTTTGTTTAATCTTTTAATTTTTAAAGTTTATTTTCTTCTTATTCACTCATTCTTTCTTCCTCCTCTATACTGAACTGAGGTCCTTCTGCTATTCATTCAACTCCTTAACCTTACTTTCTGTATATACTAGGTGTACCGGTTAATAATAACAGATTTTGAAATAAAAGAAAACACAATTAATTTCAAGAGAAACTTCAAAAGTGTTTTATTCAAAGTAATGTCCATTGCTAGCTACACATTTCCCCATCTTTTAGGTAATTTGTAGATATTGTCCCAATAAAACTTTTTTTTTTAGGCAAACCACTCAGAGACCCAATTTTCTACTTCTTTGTAGGTTTTGAATTGCTGCTCAGAAAGTGTGTGTGCCATTGATCAGAACAAGTGGTAATATGAAGTAGCAAGGTCTGGTGAATATAGCAGTGGGTTAATACTTCTCAGGCAAGATCTTTTAACGTGTCTTTAACTGGTTTTGAAGTGTGTGATGGTGTGTCATCATGAAGCAAAATTACTTTCCGTGTCTTCTGGAACATTCTAGTCATTTCATGATCAAAATGTGGTTCAAATTGATTGTTGTCAGTAGCGATAAGTATTAATGTGTCACCTGGTTTTAGAATCTCATAGCACACCACATCTTCCTGATCCCACCAAACATGAGCACTGTTTTCTTTCTGAAGCAATTTGGCCTTGCAGTCAATGTTGATGGTGGACCTGGATCAATCCATGGTTTTGTGCATTTGAGATTCTCAAAATAAATGCACTTTTCATCGCCAGTCACAATTCAATGCCAAAAAGACTTTTTTTGTGCCATTGAAGCAACATTTTACTGATGGCTTTTCGGTTTTTCATTTGTCTTTCATTCAGTTGATGTGGCACCAATTTTCCTTCCTTTAAAATCTTTCCCATTGCTTGTAAACGATTGGAAATTGTTTGCTGAGCAATGTTTAATCTTTCTGCAAGTTGTTTTTGAGTTTGACACTCATCTCCATCCAATAATGCTTGTAATTGTTGGTCTTCAAACCTTTTTGGTTGACTAGATGTTCTTTGTCTTTCACATCAAAATCATGACTTTTAAAGCTTTTGAACCAGTGTTCACAAGTATCTTGAGATGAAGCATGTTCACCATAAGGTTCTCAAAGTATTCAGCAGCACTTTTCTTCAAAACAATGAATTAAAGTTCCCGCAAATGCTCTTTTTTTGTCATGAAAGTCGACATTTTTAAGCATAAAAATACCTATGATGTTAACACCTTCAGCAAATTTGACATATGAAATTTTGAAGCTTGCTGTCAATACAACTAAATATGATAGCATACCTATCAAATCGCATATGTATCAACATATGTGTAACTCCATCTTTAAAAAAAAAAAATCCGCTTTATTAACCGGCATACCTAGTAAGCTCTGCTTCTACAGATTAATGCCCTCCCACCCCCTTTTTTTCTGGGTGTATGTTGTTTGCATTTTTTGGTTTATCTATTTACTTTGAGGTGTTTCCCCCCCCCCCCCCATATATTTTTTTCTTCTTTTTCTTCTCTTTCTTTTCTCTCTCACCTTTTTCTTCTTTTCTCTATATCAATTTTGCTCTCTTTTCTCTCTCCTAATTCTCTTTTCTTTGGTGATCACTTATATTGGGGTTATCCTTGTTGTGAGTCCATATGTGTTTTGTTCCTTTGTGTCATGACTTGTTGAGTTGTATTTTGTGATATTTGGTAAATGTGGTATACAGTGAGCCTCATAACCAGACATCCTGCAAGGAAACTTCATCCAAAAACAGGACAATAACACTCAAGACCCAACTACCAAGAGGACCCAAATATCCCAAGTAGGGGGCATCCCTAGATTACCCAGACCAGGAGACTGGCATGCCACCCAGATTTTTTGAGTTTGTCTTATATAGTAGATGATTTGTGGGACCCAGTGGTGAAATCTCGCCAGTCTTCCTCAGTGGATAGAGCTTCAGCCTGCAGACTGAAAGGTCCCAGGTTCGATTCCGGTCAAAGGCATATACCTTGATTGTGGGCACATCCCCAGTAGAGGGTGTGCAGGAGGCAGATGATCGATGATTCTTTCTCATTGATGTTTCTAACTCTCTATCCCTCTCTGTAGAAAATCAATAAAATATATTTTAAAAAGCAAACAAACAAACAAACAAACAAACTTCCAGCAAACAAAAGCCCTGGTCTGGATGGCTTCATAGGGGAGTTTACCAAACTTTCGAAGAACTAAAACCTATCCTTCTCAGACTATTTCAAAAAATTCAAGAGGAAGACACACATCCAAGCTCTTTCTATGAAGCCAGCATTACCCTAATCCCAAAATGAGATAAAGATACTACTACCGTGTTTCCCCCAAAATAAGACATCCTCCGAAAATAAGACCTACTTACAGGTTTCCTTCTGAGTGAAATATAAGCACCCCCCCCCGAAAATAAGGCCCCCCTAAGCTAAACACGAGAGATTTGGTCCACTGATTCTGAAAGAAATGGAGTCACAAGAAATTCACCAGGAAATTCAGGAATTGGATTGTTATGATGATGTTCCAGAAGATGATGACATGATTGTCATTGAATAAATGAGTAAATTCTTGATACTGTAGGATTCACAGTTTGTCTGGTTTGTGTTGCAACTACTGTACTACCATACCATATACAGGTAATAAATTTCCTTTATTTTCATTTAACAATAAATGTGTACCGTATTCTTCTTCATGGAAAAATAAGACATCCCCTGCAAATAAGACCTAGCGCATCTTTGGGAGCAAAAATTAATATAAGACACTGTCTTATTTTCGGGGAAACAGGATAGTACAAAGAAAGAATTACAGGCCAATATCCCTGACGAACATAGATGCTAAATTCCTCAACAAAACTGTAGCAAATCAGATCCAGCATTACATTAGAAAGATCATACACCATGACCAAGTGGGAATTATTTCAGGAATGCAAGGCTGGTACGATATCTGCAAATCAATAAACATTATATATCACATAAACAAATTGAGAGAGAAAAATCACATAATCATATCAATTGATGCAGAGGTAGCATTTGACAAAATCCAACACCCTTTCGTCTTTAAAAATATATTTTTATGATTATTTACAGAGAGGAAGAGAGAGGGATAGAGAGTTAGAAACATCGATGAGAGAGAATCATCGATCAGCTGCCTCTTGCACACCCTCCACTGGGGATGTGCCCGCAACCAAAGTACGTGTCCTTGACCGGAATCAAACCTGGCACCTTTCAGTGTGCAGGCCGACGCTCCATCCACAGAGCCAAACCAGTTTTGGTTCCAACACACTTTCTTGATAAAAACTCAGCAAAGTGGGAATAGAGTGATCATACCTCAACATAATAAAATCCCTATATGACAAACCTACAGCCAATATCATACTCAATGGGCAGAAAATAAAACAATTTCCCCAAGAACAGGAACAAGACAGAGATGCCCACTTTCATCACTCCTGTTCAACAAAGCACTGGAAGTGCTAGTCATAGCAATCAGTCAAGAAGAAATAAGAGGCACCCAAATTGGAAAAGAACAAGTAAAACTATCATTATTCACAGATGACATGATATGGTACATAGAAAACCTCAAAGACGCCATTAAAAAATTATTAGACTTAATAAATGAATTTGGCAATGTCACAGGATACAAAATGAACACTCAGAAACCTATGGCTTTTTTTTTATACAGCAATAATGAACTCACAAAAAGAGAAACTAAAAAATAATCCCATTTACCATTGCAACAAAAGAACTGAGATACTTAGGAATAAACTCAACTAAGGAGGTAAAAGACTTGTACTCAGAAAACTACAGGATGTTGAAAATGACAGAATCAACATCATTAAAACGTCCATACTACCAAAGCAATCTACAGATTTAATGCAATCCCCATTAAAATACCAATAGCATATTTCACAAATCTGGAACAAACTGTCCAAAAATTCATGTGGAATAAAAAAAGACCCTAGTCAGCCACAGCAATCCTGAGAAAGAAGAACAAAGTTGGAGGGATCACAATACCAAATATCAAGCTATATTACAAAGCCTCTGTTCTCAAAACTGCCTGGTACTGGCACAAAAACTGACATATAGACCAATGGAACCAAACAGAGAACCCAGAAATCAACCCAAGCCATTATGTTCAATTAATATTTGACAAAGGAGGCAAGAGTATACAGTGGAGTCAAAACAGTCTCTTCAATAAATGGTATTGGGAAAATGGGACAGATACATGCAAAAACAATGAAACTAGACCACCAACTTACACCATACACAAAAATAAACTCAAAAGGGATAAAGAACTTAAAATGTAAGATGGGAAACCATAAAAATCTTAGACGAATCCAGAGGCAGCAAAATAGCAGTCATATGTTGTAGCAAATACCTTTACCAATACAGCTCCTAGGACAATGGAAACCAAGGAGAAAATAAATAAATGGGAATACATAAAAATAAAAAGCTTCTGCACAGCAAAAGAAACCATCAACAAACAACAAGAAAGCCCAGTGCACGGGAGAACATATTTTCCAATGTTATCTCCTATAGGGGTTTAATCTCCAAAATTTACAGGGAACTCAAACAACTTCACAAAAGGAAGATAAATAACCCAATCAAAAAATGGGCAAAGGACCTGAATAGACACTTTTCAAAATAGTACATACAGAAAGCCAAGACATATGAAAACATGCTCAAAGTCACTAATTTTCCGAGATGCAAATCAAAACGAGGTACCACCTCACACCTGTCAGAATGGCTATCAACAAATTAACAAACGACAAGTGCTGGCAAGGCTGTGGAGAAAAAGGAACCCTTATGCACAGCTGGTGGGAATGCAGATTGGTGCAACCACTTGGAAAACAGTACGGCATTTCCTCAAAAAATTAAAAATGTAACTTCCATTTGACCCAGTAATCCCACTTCTAGGAATATATTTCAAGAAAACAGAAATACCAATCAGAAAGGATATATGCACCCCTATGTTCATAGCAGCACAATTTACCACAGCTATGATTTGGATACAGCCTAAGTGCCCATCAGCAGATGAGTGGATAAAAAAGCTGTGGTACATCTATACAATGGAATACTACACTAGTATAAAAAAAAGGAGGAGCTCTTACCATTTGCAACAGCATGGATGGAACTGGAGAGCATTATGCTAATCAAAATAAGCCAGCAGGAGAAAGATAAATATCATATGATCTCACTCACTTGTGGAATATAATGAACAACATAAACTGATGAAAAAATAGAAGCATCGAACAGACTGTCTAACCTAAGAGGGAAGGCTGGGAAGGTTAGGGGGTAAGAGATCAAGCAAAGGACTTGCACGTATGCACCTGAGCATTACCAATGGACACAGATAGCAGGGGAACGAGGGCATGTGCTGGGGGTGAAAGTGGCCAGGCAGCGGTCAATGGGGGAAAAAGGAGACTTATGTAATACTTTAAACTAGGGGTGTCGAACTCAATCAGAGAAGGGGCCAAAATCTAAAATCCAGCCTAAATCGCGGGCCGAATGGTTTACTGAACAGTCTTAAACTGTCATTGTGATGGAAACACAGCGGAGTGCAGTGATGACAGCGTGGTGCGGGCCACATTGCAAGGCCTGGCGGGACGGATTTGGCCCGCGGGCCTTGTGTTTGACACACGTGCTTTAAACAATAAAAAATTTAAATTAAAAAAAGTTTAATTTGTTTTTTATAATCTCTATATCACATGGATAGTATTTACTGATTACCTAGCTAGTTAGAATGACAGAGACCTAATACATGGAATGTTAAAAAAAAGTTGGGAAAGGCCCAGAATTCATACACTGGAGGCTTTTTAAAAATATATATATATATATCAATATATATGTTTTATTGATTTTTTACAGAGAGGAATGGAGAGGGATAGAGAGTTAGAAACATCAATGAGAGAGAGTCATCGATCAGCTGCCTCTTGCACACCCCCTACTGGGGATGTGCCAGCAACCAATGTACATGCCTTGACCGAAACCAAACCTGGGACTTTCAGACCGCAGGCCAATGCTATACCACTGAGCCAAACCACTGAGCCAAACCGGTTTCGGCCACTGGAGGCTTTTGATTTTTGTCAATCAACATTTATCACGTAGAGTATTAATCCATAACTCAACCAGAGTCCCCAAAATTACTTTATTTGAAACATACCCAAAGACCACCATCAAAAAGTTTTAAACAATCAAACTGCTATAGTAAAAGGTAGTGGGAAAAATTTTAATTAAATCTGCATTGAATCAAAACAATCTTTTAGAAATAAGTTGTCAAGCCACCGTTTCTTGTTATTCTCTTATGAGGACTGGAAAGCCCACCAGAAATAGGTTAAATGCCTCTATCCCCCCATTTAGGTTTCAAGTCAACAAACCTCTTATACCAGATGCCTAAAGGGTCACGCACAACTATTAATCATATCCTATTGTGAATTACTTTAATTAGACAATAGATTCCTTCCAACACGTAATGAGTGGGTTGGGAAAGGTGGGGTACGTTGAGAGCATTTTTAGAAAGGGTGGAGTGCAAAAGTTGGCTGTTCTGAACAACCAGAGAACGAGGTTGAACGTGAAGAATGGGACATGGTCAGGAGGGTGATGAGCAGGTGAACGATTTGTATAAAGGAGGCATGATAAAGAAAATATTTTCCTATTTTGAAATTCTACTTGGGCCACCTGGGGGGTTCACACACACACACACACACACACACACACACACACACACACACACGTCACCTCATTACTGGAGTAGATTAGCATCAGAATTGCCTGATCAGAGCCTCGAAAGGCTCAACTTCACTTACACTGTAAAAAAACAAAACAAAACAAAACAAAAAACAACAGAATAAAGGGCATCATCTTTAATAACTGAGTGATCTCTAAACACTCTGCTCCAGTCATACTGCCACACACCCAGTTATTCAAGTATCTGTGCCTTTATTTTTTAATATATATTTTATTGATTTTACACAGAGAGGAATTGAGACGGATAGAGTTAGAAACGTCGATGCGAGAGAAACATCGACCTGCTGCCTCTTGCACACCCCTACTGGGGATGTGCCCGCAACCAAGGTACATGCCCTTCACTGGAATCGAACCCGGAACCTTTCAGTCCACAGGCCGACGCTCTATCCACTGAGCTAAACCGGTCTCGGGTATCTGTGCCTTTAAAACTGTTATTCGGCATGGTTCTTTGCCCCCTTCTCAAGTGTATCAATTCTACATATTTCTTGAAGATTTAAAAAAAAAAAAAGTTAAGCATCTTCCCAAATGCTGGTCTTCCTCCTCGGATGTCCTATGGTTGAGAGCTGAAAAATGAGTAAAACTCGGAAGACTGACGTTAAGCTACCACATAGTCATTATCACTGTAGTAAGTATAGGTCAGCTTTTCTTCATATGCTTGAGTTTTCCAAAGTTGCTTTTAAAAAAATATATATATTTTATTGATTTTTTACAGAGAGGAAGGGAGAAGGATAGAGAGCTAGAAACGTCGATGAGAGAGAAACACCAACCAGCTGCCTCTTGCACACCCCCTACCGGGGATGTGCCCGCAACCAACATACATGCCCCTGACCTGAATCGAACCCAGGACCTTTCAGTCTGCAGGCCGACGCTCTACCACTGAGCCAATCCGGTTTCGGCCCAAAGTTGCTCTTGATGTGGAGAAGCTGGTTAGCAGCCAAAACGACTAAGGAAGGAGCTGTGCCACTGGCACTAGCAAGAATGAAAAGAATCTGGGTTACTAAGTGTTGGAGAAGAAAAGAAAAAAAAAAAACCTGGAAAAAAGGGAACGCTTCTAGTCCTTTTATTTTTACTGGTAGACAAGAAGTGGATTATGAGTTTGAGGAAAGAATTCTTACTACCTAAAGACAAAACAGTGGCACTCACTACTAAAGAAATCTATGAACCCTGTCACCATAATTATCACCTCGTAGAGTTATTTGAGAATTACATAAAAAAACAAACAAACCATAAAAGGACTCTAGTAGTGCCTGACTCACACGATAGCTATTATTTTCTCTTACTGAATAACATTTGCCAGAAAGTTGCCAGAAAACCTTTTGTAAAGTTTTCAACTAAGAAAAACAGTAAGACCAAATAATGCTGAAGTTCTTTCCCTTCCAAGAAGCCCTCCATAATGACGTCTCCAACTCATTCTCCCGTTGGAATGTCTAATTAAATAAGAACACTCTGCCTTAATTCTCCTGCTGATCAATCGTTTAGTCTGTAGGGAAGCCTGGGACCACAAAGAATGGAGCACTTAGTTGTTATCCAAACGTTGGGGAGAGGGAAGTTCAAGAGCAGCGACCTTACTTTCCGAACGCACGCTGGGTCCACGTACTGAAGAGAGCCGAACCAGGAAGAGACCACCGTGGCTGCCGAAGGTAAAGAACGAAGATCAATTCGGCCAAGGCGACGGAGCCAGGGAGGGGCTGGCCCGGCGAGGGAAGCTTCCTGCGTTAAGGTGGCGCCAGCCCCGGGGACCTCGCTGACACAGAGAAGGCTAGCAGGAAGAGAAGCCCGGGGAAGCCCACGTGGACCACGAGACCCAAAAGAGGGAAAAGGCGCGGCAGGCCAATCTCGAGCCCACCGGCGCCGAACTCCTACCTACCTGCGCCTCCAGCGTCCCTCCGCGGCGCCCCGTGATGACCTCACCCAGCGGCGCCCAATCCCGTGCCGCGTAGGGCGCGGGGCGCCTGGGCCAAACGGTCACTTCCGGGGCGAGCGGAAGCGCAAGCGTGCTGGGCGTGCGCCCTTGCTTCGTGCCCTCAACCCGCATGGCGGGGCCACGGGCGCGCCTCCCGGAGGCCTCGCGAGCCGGGCGGTTCCGACGCCCGCGCTGAACGGCGGGGGAGGGGCGGGGACGCCTGTGTGCGGGCGGGCGGGCGGGCGGGCGGGCGCTCCTGCCCTCAGTGAGGCGGGGCGGCGGCGGACGCCCCCGGGCAGGGGCGGGAGTGGCGGAGGGGCCGGCGGTGAGCTGTGAAAGGGGCGGTGAGCGCTGCTCCGGGTTCTAGGCGAGGCTTGGCCTCCCCAGCAGAGACGGGGGGAAGCGGCGGCGGCGGCGGCGGCCCTCGGGCCGGCTGGTGAGGTGATGGCGGCGCCGGCCCCGGGGGCTGGGGCAGCCTCCGGCGGCGCTGGCTGTAGTGGCGGCGGCGGCGCGGCCGGCGGCTCGGGCTCGGGCTCGGGGTCCGCGGGCACTGGGGGCCGGCTCCCCAGCCGGGTGCTGGAGTTGGTGTTCTCCTACCTGGAGCTGTCCGAGCTGCGGAGCTGCGCCCTGGTGTGCAAGCACTGGTACCGCTGCCTGCACGGCGACGAGAACAGCGAGGTGTGGCGGAGCCTGTGCGCCCGCAGCCTGGCCGAAGAGGCGCTGCGCACGGACATCCTCTGCAACCTGCCCAGCTACAAGGCCAAGGTGAGGGGGGAGCGCGGGGCCACGCCGCCGCCCCTGGGCCCGCTGTCCGTGCTGCCCGTCTCGGCTGGAGGCAGGCGCCTCGCTTCACCATCCCGCCTTCCCAGTGCGCCCGTCACTGCCTTCCCTCTCCTCTTCCCCTCCATCAACATCTCTTTGGATGGAAGTTCTGCTCCTTAACCCACTCTACTTCCGTGATACTTTTTAAAGGACCAGGTGGTATCGTTTCCATCACTCGTTCTACTTTTCATAGTCGTTCCCTTTAAAGACAGACCACCCTATTGTTGTTCCTTCAATACTCGCATCTTTTCTTCTTCTTTTTTTTTCTTCCTTTTTTCTTTCTCGGTGCCCTCTAAATAGGCTTTATTAGATCTTCCTGCTTTCGTATTTTGGTTTTCACGCTCACATTTCACCTAACCTTTCCCAAAATCTGATTTATAATCATTTTTTTCTTCTTTATTTTCACCCGGGTTCTCTAATTCTTTCTATGTTTCAGGCTTATAAGAGAGTGTGGTCCTGGGCATTCTGCTACCTGTCAGGATATCAGTCGGCATCGCTTAACCATCAAAACACTGCCTTGCCCCACTATTATTGGCTACTTCCTTGCCAACTTCTTCCTAGTTCCATCTTGATGGTGTGTCTCTTTAGTTCTGTTTGTCATAGAATTCCGGTTTTGTTGCATTTCCCCCCCCTCTTCCCTTAGCTTATTGTGCATATTCCTGCCTTCTTCATATGCAAATAAAAAAATGTCAAGTAACAGGTATAGTTGGGCTGAGAGGACACTGGCGCTCTGAGTTTGAGTAATGGAGAATTTGACCTAGGTAGGGAGATCAGGGAAGGCCTTCTTTCAAGAAACAATGATAAGCTGAGACTTGAAGGATAAGGATAGGTAAGCCAAGGAGTGAGAAGAACCTGCTAGGGGAGAACCTGCTGAGTATGAGGTATAAAAATACATCAGTGTGGCTGGAGTATGGAGAGCAAAAGTGAGGCAGGTTTGAGATAAGATGGGAGAGGTAGACTGGAGCTAAACTATAGGGAAGTCATTTTGAACTGTAAGCAAGAGGGGGTTAGGCGTGTGGGGATGGATGATATCAGCTTGCATTTTTTAAGAGGTTATTTCTAACTTCACTGTGGAGCACAGGTTGGAGGGAACCTTAGAAATATGGGTAGATCAATTAGGAAATAGGTAGTGGAGCAGGTGAAGAGAAATTAGGGAGAGATTTAGGAAGTAAAATCTACAGGACTTAGATGTGAATTAGGGGTGAGGAAGAGGGAGGTGCTAAGGATGACTCCTAGTTATCTGGCTTACATAACATAGGGATCACCTGGGCTAGATTTACAGGACTAAAAATGAGTTCAGTTTGGGTAGAATAGAATTGACTGTATTTGAGATATCCAAGAGATTTCAGATAGGCACCAGTTACAGTTTGGAGCTTAGAGGAGAGACTAAATTAAACAAAAAAAAAGTTTAATTTGATTGGATTAAAATAGTGGGCAATATGATTGTAAAGGTAAGCTGAAAAGAGCTATATCTTGGAGGTCCTTGAAATATAGCTTTGAGTCTATAGTTTGGGTTTTGTTATATATTTGGAAACCACATATGTTTCAATGGAGGAGTAATAAAATAAGAGCTGTGCTTTAGGAAAACTTGGCTATAAGATGAGTTGGAGAGGACAGGGGTTAGTGCCTAGATCGGAGATACTTACGTATATAGAACAGATGTATTAACAAGTGTATAGAGGAAGAAGGGGATGGTTGGGAGAGCTATTGCAGAGAACAGATCCACATAAGTGGACAGCTACTGACTGGCTGAGTGAGATGAGGAAGAAGGTAGAATCAGATAGGATTTCCAAGGAGCCTGGTAACTGAAAGAAGGATGGGAACAGGCTTGAAATATGTAAAACTGGAAAGTATTGGGAGCTGTCAGTCTATTTGGGATTTGTCTTTTTTTCAAAGTTCACATTTTCCATGTCACCTAATAGCATTAATTATTCCAGTCATACTTAGCATCTAACTATAATTTAAGTTTCAGACTTAGATCCTGAAGTAGGTCTTAAAGCTGTTAGCCATAATGTACAGTCCATGTTGTGCATGAGACTGGGGTAGGAATTACATATTATTTTATTTGTGTATTTTTCCATTTCTGAATTTTTGGTATCCATCTCTAAAAGATAAGGACAGTTAACATAGCACAATATCATTACATCTCTAAAGTATAAAGAAACTAACAGTAATTCCTTAATATAAAAGATGCAGTGTTCATATTTCCTATTGTCTCATAAATATAAATATTTATTTTTAATTTTCAGTTTATTTAATCAAGATTTATATAATGTTCCAATGGCAAACAGTTGACATGTCTCTTAAGGCTATAAATTCACCCTCCATCTCCCCACCTCTCATCCCTGCAACCTATTTGTTGAAGAAATCAGGTCCTGCCCTGGCTGGTATGCTAAGTGGTCAGAGTGTCGGCCGTTGGACCTAAGGGTCTCGTGTTCGATTCCTGGTTTAGGTCATGTACCTGGGTTGCGGGTTCAGACCTCGCGGCCTCATGCAGGAGGCAACCAATTGATGTGTCTCTCTCCATGTTTTCTCTCTCTCTCTCTCTCTCTCTCTCTCTCTCTCTCTCCTCTCCTCTCCTCTCTCTCTCCCTCTCCCTCTCCCTCTCCCTCTCCCTCTCCCTCTCCCTCTCCCTCCCTCCCTCCCTCCCTCCCTCCCTCCTCTCTCCTCTCTCTCTCTCTCTCTCTCTCTCTCTCTCCCCATCCTTCCCTCCTTTCACTCTCTCTCTCTCTCAAAAAAAAAAAAAAAAAAAAAAATCAATGGAAAAATATCCTTGGGTGAGAATGAACAAAAAAATACAAACAAACAATGTTGTCAAGCCCTGGCCAGTTTGGCTCACTTGGTTGAGTGTTGTCCCTTGAACCAAGAGGTCGCCGGTTGGATTCCTGGTCAGGGCACATGCAAGGGTTTCAGGCTGGATCCCCAGTGGGGTGTATGCATGAGGCAGCCGATTGATGTTTCTTTCTCTGCATCTCCCTTCCTCTATATCTAATATCAGTGAAAACATCTTTAAGAAATCGGGTAATTTACCATGTAGTTTCCCTTGGACTGAATTTTGCGTATTTTATTCCCATGGTGCTGCTTAACATGCTCTTCTTGTGTCTGTATTTCCTAGAGGTTTGATCAGTTTAGGTTAGATTAAACTTTTTGCAAAATAGTTTTTATTAGAATCAAGTGGTTAGGGTGTGTTCAGAATTGTGTTGTATGATGCAGACTATTGTGGGTAGGAGAGAGAGCAAGAGAAAAGTTAGGGAGATTGGATGATCTCAGTTAAGAATAGCTTCATGAAAATGGTAAGATTGGGGCTGATCTTAGAGGATATGTGGGAGGAGGAAAGCAGGTATGATATTATAGACAAGGAAAATTAACACAAAATTAGAAAGGAAAATAGGAGGAGCCAGATCTAGAAGGCTTTGAAAGCCAGACAGATGAATTTATAGTTGATATGGTCATCAATATGGAACTATCAAAGATTACTGAACTGGGATGAGATGTAATAAAGATGCTATTTTAGAAAGACAGGTCTGGCCCTGGCCAGTTTTTCTCAGTGGTTAGAGCATTGGCCCATGTACTGAAGAGTTGAAGGATCTATCCCAGTGAAGGACATGGACCTTGGTTCCTTGTCTGTGGGCTCAATCCTGGGCTCCAACCACTGTGGGGATGGCAAGCAATTACATCTGTTTCTCTCTCTGTCTCTCCCCCTCCCTTCCAGTCTCTAAAAATCAATGGAAAAGAAAGTATCCTCAGGTGAGGATTACCAAAATAAGTAAACTATTGACTTTTATGTGAGTTGGATTAGGTGACTTTTAAGGCCCTTTCTAATGCTGAAATTCTGTGATTCTGGAGTTGATTTCTCAGGTTAACTAAAACAATAAGTCCCAGCCTTAGGCTGCTTTTGGGTAGTTTGAACAAAGTAGAAAAAAAAATTTTTTTTAAGCCAGAAGCGAACACATATGTAATAGCTTAATCAATAAAGAAAATAAAAATAAATAAATAAAATAAAAGGAGGTGGGGGAAGCCAAATGCTTTAAATTATTAAAACATGAGAAATTGTTATTATTTATACAGAATAGCAGTTTTTATGCTATCTTTATTTTGGAAGTTTAAAAAAACTGGTAATTTCTGAAGGTTAACTA